ATACTCATCACCGTCCAAAATTCGTCGTACGGTCACAGTTGTCCGGTAGTATTTTATTTTTCATTTTTTTTATACAAATCGGAATGAGTTGAAATTTGGATCATGTGTTCATCAAAAATAGGATAATCTAATAAAAATATAAAAAAATAATTCGTAAAATATAAATTGATAAAAATACCCATAAAATTTTTAGGGGTATTTTTGTCAATTTATATTTTGCAAAATATGTTTTTCATAGTTTTATTAGGTGTACCTCACTAAGATGTACTCACGCTCCAAATTTCAGATCATTCTACCTGACAATCGTGAGCATGTGATGAACATTGGATGGTGATGAGCATAGGCTAAATCACTGTTCATTTTTACTTATAGGCGTTGGGAAGACTTTTCCTCTATATATATATATATATAAATGTAAATATATATATATATATATATCCAAAATAAATAAATAATATTTTCTCTTATTTATTTAATGTCTTATATAACTATTTGAATCGGGATATAATGCAATAAATTAAGAGCATGAGTTCTAAATTCTCTCATATGAGCACTCTAGAGTCAATCTTCAAGGATTTGGTTTGGCGCATTTTGTGAGCTCAATTTATTTACAACTAATTTATGTATGAGTGAAGACAACCAAAAAATCATCAAATCAAAGAGCTGCCCTTGTTTGTTGCGAGAGACCACGTTTGGATGTATTCTCATTGACAGACTTCAGCAAAACGTCTGTAGCATCCAACACTAAATAGTGATGAAGGAGATTATATTTGGCATACTGTTGGCATGTGTATATTAGTATCTTATACATAGAAAACTAGGATAGCCATCCATCATCCATAATAAGGAAAAAAAATAAAAAAGATAAATAAAATGCATTTGACAAAACCTAGAGATTTATAATCAAAATACAATAAAATTTACGAAACACAATGTCAAACCCTTAAAAATCACAATTAAAGAACCATATTTTGTTAAAAACCTTGGTGTTTTGGGTTCATGGCATAAGTCTTGGCAATTCGGGATAACCCAAGTCCCTGCTTGAAATAAAAAGTATTTTTTGTATTGTATAACATATTTTTTAATATTGGGTCGGGTTGACCTCATACTATACCAAACATGACCGTATAGGTGTCCAAGCTAGATCTAGATGTGGACCCGACCTAGGTCGGGTCCTAGTGAGTTGGATGCTGGCCAGACACACTTGGTCCAAAACCCGTACCTGGACCTGAACCTGAACCCAAACCCAGACTCGGTTTGGGTTGACCCGCCTGATTGCCACTCCTATATGAATATCATACCAAAACTAAAAACCCCAAACCGGGTTATACAAGGACGAGAAGACCGATCTAGGTTGGTTTGCTCCATCCACCCCTGATTCCACACACAACAAGGATTTCAATCTTTATCTTTCAACCCATGATTGAAATGACACTCTCTCACACACACACACAAAGCCCACGATTTAAATGGAGCACTCTCTCTCACACACATACAACCAAGTTTTAAATGTCTCTCTCGAACCCCTTGATACCGCAAACAATTGTGAACTGAATATTTATTAACAGATGTCCCGTTTACAATTAAAAAAAAAAGAAAAAGCAATAGTAAACATGACAAGCTTAGGTCAGATTGACTATACATTCCGTTCTCTCTCTCTCTCTCTTCTCTCTCTCTCTCTCTCTCTCTCTCTCCCTGCTTGTTTCCATTGAATTAATCTTGTCCAGCATGAACTTACAATAATAGATGTTGTTTCCAAATAAATTCAAATAAATTAAATAAAAAATAAAAAATAAAAAAACAATGATGACCCAAGCTTAGGAGACATTGACTATAAATTCTACAAAATACAAGTACTTTTTGCTGCTTGCACCTCATTTGACATCTATTGGCATCTTGACACACCAAATCTTCTTAATAAAAACGTTAGAACACATACAATAGTGTATCTTTGGAATCTCGTAAACAGTATTAAAAAACTGGGCGAGTTAAGTGGGACTCTCGCTACTTTGGATGACATTATGTGTGGACCCCAAAAAAATTACTGAAATGATTGATCACATACAGAATTACGAGGAAGGCCGGTCAACTTGCGTTCTTTTATTTTTTCCAAAATTGCCCCTAACTTTGAGGATTTTATCCTTGGACCCTGCATTTGAACCTTTTTTTCCTTTTTTTTTAGGTTTTTTTGGTAGTAACGCAGTGCCCCAACTTTAGTGCCCAAGCTTTAGAGGCAGTGCCCAAGTATCCTGAGGTTTGAATCCTCAGACTGCCCTGCGAACACAACAATATTCCAATAGAACGGTGTAAGGTCCCCATCTTCGGATTGCTATTTTTCTCAAATAACTAATCTGAGGAGGTGGACCTTAGAACGTCTTGGAACTCAATTCTGCTAAGTCTAGAGAGTGGTTTGAGGTCCCCATCCTCGGATTGTTGTTTTTCTCAAAAATAAAAGATAAAGAGTGGTATGAGGATGGGGACCTCGGACTGCTGTTTTTATCAAAAAATAAGAATAAAAAAGAGTGGTATGAGGATGGGGACCTCAGGCTACTTAGGAACTGGGGCCTGCTAATCAAGAGGGTGATCCAAGGATTCGAACCTCGAATCGCCTAGGCATTGCCCCTAAAGCTTGGGGCGCTACGTTACTAATGACAAAATAATTTTTTTAAAAAAATTAAATGCAATTTGAGGATAGAGTCCTCAGACCGAGGGATAATTTTGGAAAAAAAAAAATACGGATTGACCGACCTTCCTTGTAATTTTCGACTGCAATCATATCATTCCATATTTTAAGTAAATTTTTTTGGTTTGTACATAAATCACTCTAGATAATAAACAATTTCATGCATAATTCAACGTAGACAATGAACTGTTAGATAGCACAAACAATGCATACCAAAATTAGAAACCGCAGCCCAGGTTATGCAAGGCCCGACGGACCGAGCCTGGTTGGATTGGTCCATCCAACCTCGCTCAGGTACACAACCCACGATTTAAATAACAATTCTCTCACGCAAAACCCACGACTATCTAACTCTCTCTACTACCACAAAAGTCCCCTTTTTTTTCCAAAAAAATAAAAAATAAAAAATAATAAAAAAACCTCCCTCTCCTCTCTCACACACACACACTCTCTCTATTTATTTGATATTGAACTAAACTTTCACAACATAAAGGCACAACAACAGATTCCGTTCAAAAAGAAATAAAAGAAAAAGCAAAAACACAATAAGAGACACCATACAAGCTTAGGAGACATTGAATACTACTGCTTTTCCTTAGCACTTGCACCTCATTTGACATCTTCACACACCAAATCTTCTTCTAAGACATTTCAAGACCATCAAAGTTTGTAATCTCGTAATCAAAATTTTTGCGAAACAATCCATCCACTCAAGAACGGAATGGGACCATTGCCTTGGAACAAATATCACTGAGAACAACCCACTGAATCCAAACCCAAATTCTAAACCCACGCTCATCCATGGAATCTCTGATGACCCATTTCTCATGTTCCTGCTATTACTTGAATTTGAGATTGACTCGTCGTGAGTGCACTTCTTCTCAGGAAGAGGAAGAAGAGGACCACAAAGATGTGGGTTCCCATAGTACGATGAAGCATCGAATGTACTCATATGACCGCTATAGGGAATGGGTCCTGATAAATTATTGAATGATAGGTTCAAAGTTCCCAAGAATGTTAGAGATGGCATGTTTGAAGGAATTTCACCAGAAAGCAGATTGTTTGATAAATCGAGATTTTCCAAAACCCGCATTTTATGAATCTTGTCCAGAATCTTTCCACTGAGATGGTTCTGGGACAAGTTCAATATAAGAAGGCTAATCTTGTCAATTCATATGGGATCCTTCCTGATAAATTATTGTCCGAAAAGTTGATATTTTCACTGAATAAGGGGACCGGCTGTATTCCCGCATGTTGCCATTTGCAAATATATTGACAGGTTCATAAAAAAATTGTTCATAGCTTACAATAGATGTGTATATGTCCACCATGTAATACTCTGGTGTGGTGGACATGATCATTGTTGTTAGGTTGTTGAAAATGGCAGGGATTACCCCTGATAGATTATTGAGAGCTAGATCTAGCACTTGAAGAGAATATAGATGTGATATCCCCTAAGGAATGGACCCATTGAACATATAGATCTTAGGCGAAGGACATAAAGGGACTTGATCTTTTGCTAATCCATGTTGGGATGTTCCCGGATAACTGATTCTCACTGAGATCAAGATGCTTTAATTTGGAACAATTTCTCAATGATGGGGGTATTTCACCTGAAATGTATTGTACTAGAGATCAATTAGGTTTCCCAAGGTAGTCAGAACAGGTCCCATCAATTTATTCCAAGCAAGATCAAGCATGGTCAAATTCATCATGTCTCCTATGGAGTTGGGGATGGATCCTGTAGTACCATTAGTAGAAACATTCAACAATCGTATATTAGGCATGGCTTGCCCAATGTTTCTTGGAATAGAACTTGAAAATCGATTTACTTGATTCGGAAATTTGAGACGACTGATGTTCATACACTTTATTGAGGAGTTGACATTTGGAACTTTATTATTTTGGCTCAAAGCAACTGGGATATTTCCAAAAATGTTGTTGCTTGCGTAGAGAAATTTTTTGTCTTGTGGGTGATAGTCAGGGAATAATTGGCCATGAAAATTATTTGAACTTAGATCTAATATTTCAATGGCTTTAAGGTTGCACAGTTCTGAAGGAAGAGATCCTATGAGATGGTTACCACGTAGGTTCAAGTAAACAAGCTTGGAAAGATTTCCTATTTCCAGAGGGATATGTCCAGAAAACTTATTCGAAATAATATCTAGCCAACGAAGGTTCTTGAGAAGACCAATTTCTAGGGGGATTGGTCCGATGAATGAGTTTTCTCTACGACTCAAGGTTCTTAGATTAGTCCAATTGGTGAAAATCCACCAAGGGATGGCACCAGTAATTCTATTGCCAAAAATATAAAACTCTAAAGTTCTACTCGATGCAGCAAGAGATGGTGGTAAAGAGCCTCTTATATTATTATTCTGCAATAATAAGGCTTCTAGGTTTGTGCAAAGCCCAAGTTGAGATGGGATGCTAGAATTCAACCCACACGAGAGAAGGACTAGATGCGCAAGAGCCCGAAGCTATCCGAGTGATGCTGGGATAGGTCCACCCAAAAATTCATTTTCGTACAGTTCTAGTGTTTTGAGCCCTGAGATTAAGCCAATATCATGACGAATTGAACCTGTGAAATTGTTGCCACTTAGTATAAGTTCCTGCAATTTTGGTAGCTTCTTGAGCTCAACTGGAATGGGACCAGTTATTGAATTTGAAGACAAATCCAAGTGTACCAACTTCTTGCATCCAAAAATGAAGCTCGGGAATTCCGTTAAATAATTACCATACAAAGAGAGGGCTATAAGCGACTCCATTTCCTAAACTTTTATCGAGTTAGGCAAAGTCAGGTAGTTATCTCCAAAGTCTTTAAGATGGATGCTTTATACCTCTCGACCGCATATTGTAGAAATGCGGTCCAGCCGGCATGAAACAATTTTCCTTTATAAATTAACCCATCCACAATGCTTCTCACAAAAAAAAAAGAGTCTAGCTATATATGACCACAGGCTGTCGACTGTTTCCGAGGACTTTGGCGTGTGCGCTCATTCAGCTTTTCCACCCTCTTCTTTGGGTTGTTAGTCTACGAGGACTTTGAAAGTTTTGGAAAGACCTAGCTTCTCTTGTGGGAGCCACACTGTCGATTTGCTCCCTCGGGTAATATTCCAATTACAAGTATTTTGGGACCCTAAATTTTAAGGATGTAACCTATTGAACCAGTGATCAACATCAGAATAAATAAATAAACTAGGCGATTCTCTAAGTATATACACCCTTTTCCAATAGTGTTGTGGATGGGCCTCATGACAAAAGTACGAGTTTTTATTTAGCAAAACTCAGCCGGCAACGGGCTATCCGTGCATGAGCACATATACTATGCTCCTCCAGGATTAAATTGTACATTTACTTTCACAGTCAGAAGAACTATGTGGGAAAAGTTTTTGAGTTTGAAATTTTTGTAACCACCTAAGAATCACTAGATGATTATTTTTAAATGAAAATTTTGAATTTTGAGTATTCTAACACTTAGATATTCCTCTTACAAAATTCGATGGTCTGTATTTAATCTTGAGGCTTATTTTTTCAAGGGCATAAAGAGTGCAATTTGGGATTTGCTTTTATTGATATCCAAAATTTGGGGTCATAAAGTTATGGACGAGTTTTTATGAGTCGGCTGACTGACATGTACATAACCGGGCTCCCTCTGACATCGGACTTAGAGAGACATTTTATATCTAAATTTTTTTAGAGGTTCATGATCTAAGACATGGTTCTTGAATATAAAATAAAAATTTATAGTATTCAAAGTCTTTTTTAAATATACATATTTTTTACACCATTCATTTGGGTGCCTTCTTATTCCAATATCCATCTTATCATGAACAACTTTTTCTAAAGTTATTCGAAGAAACGTTTTTACCTAAACTGTATAAACTTATAGGAAAAGCTTTCTCTGTTCTTTCTACAACATAGAAGTTCTATCCTCCCCTTATTCAACCGTCCAATTTTTAATGGAGGGTTAAGATGGCCCCAATCACAATGTCATATTTTTACATTTTTTTTTTTTTATAAACTTTTGATACCAAAATTTGCATGTTCATTTCTCTATTAGACTCTCACTAATGAAAAATATAAAAAAATTATTTTCAACAAAATAAAATGACCAAATACCCCTGCAAAATTCAAGGGGTATTTTGGTCATTATGTTAACAAAACATTATTGTTAATATTTTTCATATGTGCGCCCCAATGAGAAGATGGAAGTACCAAATTTCATATTCAGAAAAATTTTATTAAAAAAACTAAAAATAAAATCATTTGAGACATCGGATCTAAGATCAAACGGTGAGTGGCTTTCTTGATAAAAAATGGACGGCTAGATGATAAGGGAAAGATAGAACTTCTACATTGTAGGGGGAACATAGAAAGTTTTCCCAAACTTATATACTTCTAGTTGTCCAATAGTCCATTCTAAACAGACGGTTGAGATAACTGCAATCACAATGTCACCCCCGTACACTATTTTATTTTTTAGTTTTCTTGAAGAATATTTTTATTCTAAAGTTTGGGCATCTACTCCTCTCTTAAACTTGCATGTGTTAACAATAATCAAAGTTCCGATAAAATAAAATAACAAAAATGCCTCAAAAGTTTTAGGGGTATTTTGGTCATTATCAAAAATAGTTTTTTGATATTCTTTTTAGGTACGCCTTATTGAGATGATGACATGTACTAAATTTTATATTGATATAATTTATAGAAAAAATAGGAAAATAAAATACTATGAGGCGCCAGATCTAAATCAAACGATCAGTCGCTGACTTGATCTAAATTGGACCGCTGGATAGGGAGGTGGAAGTATATATCTTCTATATAGTATGAGAAGTATAAAAACCTTTCCCTTTGAAAAAACATGTGTCATGATGACTTAATCTCTTTCTCTCTTGATGACTCTCTATTTTTTCATAGAGAAAAGTGTTTAATTTCGGCATCTTTTTTCTTTTCATTTTCATATGTCTCAACATTGAGATGATCAGTTAGAGGGTTTTCCAACATCAAAACAGCCTTTTTCCAATAAATATATGAGTCTCCCGTCTGATAGAAACCTTTTCCATATATATATAGGGCTATTTTAAACTTCACAACCCTTCAAATTACAAAGGTTCACAATAGAGAGAGTTGTGAAGTGTGGATTTATTAATTTTGTTGTCTAGTTTTTTAAAAAAGTTACTTTTGTAGGGTAAATTTGTAAATATTACTGCAAGACAAAGGGTATTTTTGTCATCTCTGCAAGGGGTAAAATTGAAATTTTATCTAAAGGACAACAATACTCTACAAATAAAATTCTAGGATACTAACTTCCAAAATGCCATTATACTTTTGTGAAAATTTCAAATTTTTTCTTGCTTAATGATAAATTTACCTATTTAAATAAATTTTTAATGAAAAAGTAATGATTGTTTTGATAAATACACCCATCACAACCCCTTCTAACTTGAACCTTTGTATTTTGAGGGTAGGTTAACTCTAGAGAAACCCATATATATATATATATATAGAAAAATTATCCTATGAGCCAGTGGCTCATAAGAAAAAATGAGCCCAACAGTCCAGATTGAATCAGGGTCGATCACGGATGTCCGGTAGTGATTGAATTTTAATTATTTTTCTTCAAATCCAAATCAATTGAAATTTAGGTGAATGTTCTTCTCATCAATACGCATCTAAGAAAAATATAAAAAAAATAATCCAAAAATCCAAATTGACCAAAATATCCCCGAAATTTTATTGGGGTATTTCGGTAATTTTTTCATGTAAAATATTTTTTTGATATTTTTTGAAGGTTCACCTAGTTTTGATGAACACACGCCTCAAATTTTAAGTGATTTGGATTTGTAAAAAAAAAACTTTAAATTCAAGCACTATCGGGCATCAGTAATAGTCAGATCGGCCCAGATTCAATTACGGCCGTTGGGCTCTATTTT